TATATATTTCGTAATGAAATTCATATTTCACGAATTTTAAGAATAATTATAATTAATATTTCGTTGTAAAAATTATACCGTCATAGGTTAGCTTTACCATAAAATATATTTCGTAATGAAATTCACATTTAATAAATACTTCACAGTAAAAATTGTAGGTTAGGTTTACCCTGAAATATACATATAATTCCTAATAAAATTTACATTTTACAAAATTTTAAGATTATAAAGAATGAAAAATAAATATAATTAACATTTCGCGGTAGAAATTGTACTTTAAGTAAATTTTTCTAGAATGTCACTTTTGCAGACAGTATTTGATTTTTGTCTCTTTAACAAATTTCCCCACTTTTAAGTACACGAAGTTGAAAATGTTCAATTCTCGATAATTCCGGAGAAATCTTAGAGTTTTGGTGGTGAGACTTGACAATTGACTTCACTGATTTTACATTTTTAGCCACGAAATGGCTGTAGAAGAGAGTGTTAATAACCGCCAGTCAAATGATTAATGAGAATCGCGCGAAGCGTGATAATGTAAAATGTTAGAATACCGATAAAACATAAATTGAACACCCCCTTGATCGCAACAGCGTGTTGCTCGTCTCGTCGCGATGCGTTGTTCTCCCTTACGCGCGGAGGCAAAAGCCAATAATTAAACTTGATGCGCGGAATATCGTATAGATGTATTTATTCGGTACACATCGCGCAATTTCCGATAGCTAATAATTCCCCGTGCACATATTTACAGTTTTAACTTGTTCCGCTACGATTTTATTTACACGCGATCGTGTTCAAATTTTAATCCCCTCTCGTCTTTTTCTTCTTTCCTTTTTTTTTTTTTTTTTTTTTTTTTTACGAACGATACCGATGGAAAATGTAAATCGAAAAACGTTCGAATTATTCGAGATTTAGGTGATAAACGGGATTAGGTAATGAAGTATAATATTTGTAGCAAAGAAGTTACATCGCAACGTGCAAGAAAAAGTTAATAACGTAACAAAGAACACTTCTATTAATATATTTTACTAAAAATCACTCGAGTATCTATAGATCTAAAAATATAGACTGTACATATATCAAATTTCCATAGAAAATTATATAAATATAGACTGAATAGTACTTATATAAATATAAACTAAACATATATAAAATTTCCATAGAAAATTATATAAATTAGTCATTTTGACCACTTTGGTTAAAAGCATTAAACATCCCAGAAAAGAAAAAGTTAATAACGTAACAAAGAACACTTTCATTAATATATTTTACTAAAAGTCACTCGAGTATCTAAAAGTATAGATCTAAAAATATGGATTGTACATATATCAAATTTCCATAGAAAATTACATAAATTAGTCATTTTGACCACTTTGGTTAAAAGTGTTAAACATCCCAAAAAAGAAAAAGTTAATAACGTAACAAAGAACACTTCTATTAATATATTTTACTAAAAGTCACTCGAGTATCTAAAAGTATAGATCTAAAAATATGGATTGTACATGTATCAAATTTCCATAGAAACTTATATAAATATAGACTGAATAGTACTTATATAAATATAGACTGTACATATATCAAATTTCCATAGAAAATTATATAAATATAGACTGAATAGTACTTATATAAATATAGACTGTACATATATCAAATTTCCATAGAAAATTATATAAATATAGACTGTACATATATAAAATTTCCATAGAAAATTATATAAATTAATCATTTTTACCACTTTGGTTAAAAGCATTAAACATCCCAGAAAAGAAAAAGTTAATAACGTAACAAAGAACACTTTCATTAATATATTTACTAAAAGTCACTCGAGTATCTAAAAGTATAGATCTAAAAATATGGTTTGTACATGTATCAAATTTCCATAGAAAATTACATAAATTAGTCATCTTGACCACTTTGGTAGTTCTAGCGTTAAACTTTTCAAAAAAGAAATAATTATTGTGCAGTTCAAGAGGTATCACTGCAACTTGATTAGGTTATAATGCATTAGTATAGTATTATATTATACTATATTAGCATAGTATTATATTATATTATATTAGTATAGTATTATATAGTATTATAGTATTATATTATACTATATTATATAGTATTATAGTATTATATTATACTATATTAGTATAGTATATTATATTATACTATATTAACATATATTATAATTTGTATATTTAATTGTAATATATGTTATTATAATTATTTTATGTAATTATAATATATGTTATTATAATTATTATATGTAATTATAATATATGTTATTATAATTATTATATGTAATTATAATATATGTTATTATAATTATTATATGTAATTATAATATATGTTATTATAATTATTATATGTAATTATAATATATGTTATTATAATTATTATATGTAATTATAATATATGTTATTATAATTATTATATGTAATTATAATCTATGTTATTATAATATGCATTAAGTATATTATTATCATACGTGTATGTTACATTGCATTAATCATCAAATGATTCGATGATTCCTGATCGTGTCGTTCTGTGATATTACAGTCGGGGGTGCCGGACATGCACGAGACCCTGTCCAGTTTTTCGGAACAGTTCAGGGATGGGCCCACGAAGCCGGAAATAAAGTCGGAAGCAGCGAAGGAGTCGGAGAGGTCAACCGAGCCCAAGTGTGGCTGGTTCTGGTTCAAGCCTGTTTACCTGCAGCAATTTCGAACCGCGAAATGGGCGCTTTTCTGGTTGTGCTGGACAGGTGCAATGCAAGGTGAGTGCAGTTTAATACAGTTTTACGAGAGAGATGTTTATTACTCGATTTTGAAATTCTTTTTCTTCGTAAAAAAACAGTTGAAATTACGATCTTCGAAATAGTTGTTAATTTTCTAAAATTTAATTCAACGTAGAATTATTAAAAATTGTGACTATTAATCTTCTGAAGGTTTTAAGTAATCTAGAAAGATAATTTTAAACCTACAACCATAACTGGAATAATTGCTACCTGCACCTATCGGCATTAAAATTACAATAATCGTCAATGTTAACAAATTATTTTTTATCGTTTTACAAATACCTATTATATTGAAATTCATATTTTACAAATTATTCATATAAACCGTATTATTTTACAAATTATTCATTACGTAAAATATGAATTTTTTATAAATACCTATTATATTGAAATTCATAATTTACGAATTATTTTATATAATTGACAATTTATTGCTTGATTTTGAAATGAATAAAATTCTCTGTCCTCGTGCAAAGTTATAATTATTAATCTTCCAAGGTTCATAGAGGATACAGTGCAAAATAAATAGAAATTTCTTTCCCTCGCACAAAATTATGATTATTGATCTTTGAAAATTTATAGAAGGTATAGTGTAGCCTCTAAAAAGGTAATTTTAAACCTACAACCATAATTGGAATAATTGCTGCCTGTATCGGCATTAAAATTACAATAATCGTCAATGTTAACAAATTATTTTTTATCGTTTTACAAATACCTATTATATTGAAATTCATATTTTACAAATTATTCATATAAACCGTATTATTTTACAAATTATTCATTACGTAAAATATGAATTTTTTATAAACACCTATTATATTGAAATTCATATTTTACGAATTATTTTATATAATTGACAATTTATTGCTTGATTTTGAAATGAATAAAATTCTCTGTCCTCGTGCAAAGTTATAATTATTAATCTTCCGAGGTTCATAGAGGACATTGTGCGAAATGAATAAAAATTTCTTTAAAAATTTCTTTCCTTCGCACAAAATTATGATTATTGATCTTTTAAAATTTACAGAAAGTATAGTGTAGCATCTAGAAACTTTTTTAAACCGAAACAAGTATAAACTAAAATTAAAGCTCAACAACCATAACTGGGATAGTTACCTGTATATCGACACTGGAATTATTAATTCGTCGGGTTTCAATAATTCAGCGATATACTTTCGCGTATTTATTTCCCCCGGTCGCAAAGGGTTACACGCGTGATCGTTAAACACGATCCAGCTTTGTAATCAAGCCGCCACAAACGCGTCAAACATTCCTACTAACAATAAACCCCGTGTCTACGAGCGACGTATCGAAAATGCCAGCCAGGTCGAATTCGGAAACTCTGTCGATCATAAACGTGACATTTGCCAATACACCAACTTGGTAGCGATATTCCCCTACCCCCTGAACAACGTCGGGCAAATGCATGCTGATTTTTCGGTATAATCCAATGTACACACTTGTCCATAAGTTTCTCGACGTCCAGTAAATCGAATAAATCGAACAAATTCGATGAAGTCGAATGCAAAAGCTTCGTGTTTATATGTATACACGAAGCTTTATTATATAATTTTTATGATATATAAAATAATTATGATATTTTATGATATATAAAATAATTATGATATTTTATGATATATAAAATAATTTAAAATTTAAATAATGTATAATTTTTATGATATATAGAATATAATTTAAAGTTTAAATAATATATAATTTTTATAATATATAGAATATAATTTAAAGTTTAAATGATATATAATTTTTATAATATATAGAATATAATTTTAAATTTAAATAATATATAATTTCTATAATAAACAAAACATAATTTAAAGTTTAAATAATATATAATTTCCATAATATATAAAATATAATTTAAAATTTAAATAATATATAATTTTTATGATGTATAGAATATAATTTAAAATTTAAATAATATATCATTTTTCTGACATATAAAATAAAATTTGAAATTTAAATAATGTATAATTTTTATGACATATAAAATATAATTTAAAATTTAAATAATATATAATTCTTATATATAATATATAAAATATAATTTAAAATTTGAATAATATATAATTTCTATAATACATAAAATATAATTTGAAATTTAAATAATATATAATTTCTCTAATACATAAAATATAATTTAAAATTTAAATAATATATAATTTCTATAATATATAAAATATAATTTAAAATTTAAATAATATATAATTTCTATAATACATAAAATATAATTTGAAATTTAAATAATATATAATTTCTATAATACATAAAATATAATTTGAAATTTAAATAATATATAATTTCTATAATATGTAAAGTTTAAATAGTACATAATTTTTATAATATATAGAATATAATTTGAAATTTAAATAATATATAATTTCTATAATAAATAAAATATAATTTAAAGTTTAAATAATATGTAATTTCTATAATATATAAAATATAATTTAAAGTTTGAATAATATATAATTTTTATGATATATAAAATATAATTTAAAGTTTAAATAATATATAGTTTCTATAATACATAAAATATAATTTGAAATTTAAATAATATATAATTTCTCTGATACATAGAATATAATTTAAAATTTAAGTAACATATAATTTCTATACTATATAAAATATAACTTAAAATTTAAATAACATACAAAATTACATATATACAATTTTTGTCTTTTATTTGTATTTTACTAAACTGAACTGTCCCCCGTGAAATTTTTCACTTGTGTCACGAAATTTCCACAAAATGGCTGCCTGAGATTTGAAACTGAAAGAGGGGTTGAATTAAAGAGTTTCTCTTCAGTCTGTCCTCTCCGTTCAAATTTCTTTCCCTCCCTCCCCTCCTCCCCACCGTTGGTAACACTTACGAATGGACATATGTACACGCGCGAGCGTACATGCACACGTATAAAGCACACATATGCGCGTATAAACACACGCAGCAGCCGATTGACTCCGATATCGTCGTTTGGCGTTACTAATAGCCGTGCATTCGAATGCAATTTCGAAGCTTTCACGGCGGCGGTGAGGGGGCGGGTTAGGGGGTGAGGGACGGACGGGGGCCGTCGACGACGGTGACTGACGATAACCGGAAATCGAGTTTTCCGGGCCGGTGGCAGGAGGTTGACACGCTGTTGCAGGGTGGTTGGTGGGAGAACGTCGACGAAAAGAGAAACGCGGCGAACAGGGGCGAGCGAGGGCGTTGAAGGGTAGCTCACGGTAGCTCACGGTGTGCTTACGGAGTACTTTAGTTTAAATAAGTTTGTTCGGGTCCTCTCTCACTGCTGCCCTCCTCCTCCCCCCCCCCCTCTGCCCCTCTTCTTCGCCAAGAAGATAAAAGAAATTGTCCTTCGTCCAATTGGGATTGAACAAATTGCCGAACAATGGACTCGGCAATCGTCTGTCTACAAGTCGAGGATAAGTACGAGCGTACTATAACCTAATGCTGCTCGTGCACGCTTCGTTCAAGTTGGCTCTGGCACTGTTGCAATGATTACGATGTGTGCCAAGGCTTTGCAGGCTGATATCCCGCGTGCAATAATAATGATCCATCTGCATTTTCGGATCTGACACGCGTGTTACATTTGACAGTGTCTCGTATGGAATAATAATTGATCCGTAACGCAATAATAATTAATTCTGTAATTTTATACACGACGTGTCTCAGATATGACAGTGTCACGTGTGCCTCGTATGTGTAATAATAATGATTGATCCACGTTTTGTTGAACGTGTCTCAGATTTTGTAATGCCCTGATATTTATTATCGTAATTAATGTCTTGTATGCAATAACAATTGATCCATAACGCAATAATAATTGATCCACATTTTATTAAACGTAGTATGTGTCAGTTCATGTCTTGTTCTTTCGTAAATTTCCTGATATTTATTGTAATTGTTAACCAATTATGCGCACCAGCTGGAGACAAGGTAAGAATGGGCTGGCAATTTGAGAAAAACAAATTGTCCACGGCGTGTACGACTGGTGCTCTGGCCTTAATTAAAATTCTCCTATTGGCGGTACAATGGGGAACGAAGGTGGTTCATTTTCCGAGTGGACAGACTCCAGCGCTATTTCGCTTCTGTTCACAAGCGTCTGTGATCGTCGTGTTAATTGTTGAGGATTTGAATATACGCGCGGAGGATTTTTCATTGGAAGAATTGTACGGAGTAATGCTATATATATATAATAAATTGTACAGTGTTGCTTGGAATACGATTTATTATTGTTTATTATTATTTTTCTATCGAAAAAATGTATGATACGTTGTATAATGCAATTTTATTAATAACGGATAATAATAAATACATTCTAATACAATTTCATTATTTTATTTAATTGATAATAATAATGCAATTTTAACCTACTGGCAATATTCAACCATTCTATTATATGTATATTAATATTGTAAAATTTTACCACACATCCAATAATATTCTAATAAATTTAATAAAATAAAATAAAATAATAAGATTTAATAAAATAAAATAAGATAATAAAATTTAATAAAATAAAATAGAATAATAAAATTTGATAAAATAAAATAGAATAAAATTTAATAAAATAAAATAGAATAATAAAATTTAATAAAATAAAATAAAATAATAAAATTTAATAAAATAAAATAGAATAATAAAATTTGATAAAATAAAATAGAATAAAATTTAATAAAATAAAATAGAATAATAAAATTTAATAAAATAAAATAAAATAATAAAATTTAATAAAATAAAATAGAATAATAAAATTTGATAAAATAAAATAGAATAAAATTTAATAAAATAAAATAGAATAATAAAATTTAATAAAATAAAATAGAATAATAAAATTTAATAAAATAAAATAGAATAATAAAATTTGGTAAAATAAAATAGAATAATAAAATTTAATGAAATAAAATAAAATAGAATAATAGAATTTAATAAAATAAAATAATAAGATTTAATAAAATAGAATAATAGAATTTAATAAAATAAAATAATAAGATTTAATAAAATAAAATAAAATAATAAAATTAAAGATTCAAACAACAGCAACCCTAACATCAGAGAACAGTCAAAAGGGGACCTTACGAAGCCTCTCTCCTCTCTCCGCTCTTGAATCCGCCAGCGAGAGGAAATTTATTTTTGCAATTGTCAGAGATGGTTAAACGCTTTTGTCAGACGATACTGCACGGCGTGGCCACTGTGTTTTGTAATTCGACGCGTTGTCAACGCCCGTTTGCAGCGTGTAACGAAAGAACAGGCAAACGAACGAACGGACGAGCATTGTTCGATTCAGCGACAGATTAGCATCGTGCACATTCGTGAGAAAGAAGTGTTTAATAGATTTACGTTGGAGAGAGCGATTTCTTCGAGGGTGAGCGGACACTGAGTCGAGCCGAGGGGAGACGATAATTGAATTAGTTTATCCCTTCTGATTCATTTACACGCGGCGCATTTGTTTGAAGCGTGTTCGGCTTTGACGCACACGCGTATCGAAGATCGTAACGTTGTTTCGAGTACGAGAATCAGGACAAAACGGGATCAAAGGTATTATCAGGATGCTCGTTATAAATCGGTCAGGATTGATTGAAAAAAATTGATTGACAGAAACAACTGAATTGATGTTCCAGATATTATCGGTTGTACGACACTTTCAGATGCTCACAATAAAGTATAGTGTACGTATAGTATAGTAAAATATCCTCTGTCAAGTATAGCGTATGTATGGTAAGGTATGGTGCAAAAAATAGCGCACACTGTACAAGGTGATTCACGTAATTTCCGTACCTGATGAATAACTTTTAAATTATGCGTTCAAATGAAAAATTGTTCAATACAAAAGTTGTATGATTTTAAGGGAGGCAAAATGTAGCCTGTGTGTACTAAAGAGTTTTGAAATTTTCAAGTTATTTTTATCTTCTTCAATTGCATTATACATTGTTTTCGATGGAAAGAATCGAAGGAATATCAAATTCCAAGTAAAAAAATATTAAGCTACATTGGTCCTGAATATAATTTATAATAATTCCTATATTTATGATAATATATATAATTTATAATAATAATTCCTATATTTATGATAATATATATAATTTATAATAATAATTTCTATATTTATAATAATATATATAATTTATAATAATAATTCCTGTATTTATAATAATATATATAATTTATAATAATAATTCCTATATTTATAATAATATATATAATTTGTAATAATAATTCCTATATTTATAATAATATATATAATTTATAATAATAATTCCTATATTTATAATAATATATATAATTTATAATAATAATTCCTATATTTATAATAATAATCCTATAATAATAATTTATAATAATAATTCCTATATTTTATTTATAACGATAATTTGTCTCTAGGATGAAACTAACTACATGGAGCAGAGGTAGCTAACTGGCGGCCCTTGCCCCTACTTTCCTGGCCGCTAGTGCTACCCCCTCCACTCTCTCACTATGAGAGGAAATTTCAATATAGTGGAGAGGGTAGTATTAGTAATCTACTAGAGGCTCTAGCATAGAGCATTAGGACCATTTGTTTGCAATAATTTATAAATATAAGCGACTTTATCTTATCTACATGTGACGCATATATATATATATATATATATATATATATATATATATCTTTAAAATTTAGTATTGATTATCTGTGTTGGTGTTATTAGATCGCGTGTCATTCATTTCATAACTTCGTGCATTTGTACATTTTTTTTTTATTCCAAATTAATTTCTTTATTGTACAAATAATGCTATTTGTAATTTATTAGAACAACGTTTTTACTCTAAATGAAATTCTACGATTTTTGTTGCAGGAATGGTGGTGAACGGTTTCGTGAACGTGGTCATAACCACGATAGAAAGGAGATTTGGTCTAAGATCGTCGCAGACTGGCCTGATAGCAGGCGGATACGACATTGCCAGTTTCCTTACTCTGGTTCCAGTGAGCTACCTCGGCGGTCGCTCAAAAGCATCAAAACCAAGGTATACACCTACGCGTAACGTAGTAATGTTTTTTTTTAACAAAACATCAAAATATAAAGAGAAACTAATTCTATTAATTTTAAATTAAATTGAAGTTCAAACACGATTTTTTCATTGTGTTTTGAAAATTATTCTTTTCGAGTATTGGAAACGGTATATAAAAAAAAATTATTCTTTTCGAGTGTTGGAAACGGTATATAAAAAAATTATTCTTTTCGAGTGTTGGAAACGGTATATAAAAAAAAATATAGAGAAATACAGGGTGCACCAAAAATTTCTTCTCGCCTATTTTTTTTTTTTTTAACAAAACATCAAAATATAGAGAGAAACTAATTCTCTTAATTTTTAATTAAATTGAAGTTCAAACACGATTTTTTCATTGTGTTTTAAAAATTATTCTTTTCGAGTGTTAGAAACAGTATATAATAAAAAAAATACAGAGAAATACAGGATGCACCAAAAATTTCTTCTCGCCTATTTTCTTTTTTTTTTTTAACAAAACATCAAAATATAGAAAGAAACTAATTCTCTTAATTTTAAATTAAATTGAAGTTCAAACACGATTTTTTCATTGTGTTTTAAAAATTATTCTTTTCAAGTGTTAGAAACAGTATATAATAAAAAAAATTACGGATTTATTTTATTTTATCTTAGGAAGTGACTTTTGGACCACCCTGTATGTTTCCCGAGAAACACACAGGATAAAAGTTTAAAAAGTGATTAAAAATATATGTTGCAAGCAAACGTCCCCGATTATTCCAAAAAAATTCCCTCGAACAGATTCGATTGGCAACTTCAAAATATGTTGTATATTGCATTTGAAAATCATCGAACAATATGTGTAATACACACTGCACACGTGTGTGTACACAGTGCATACGCGTATGCAAATATACAAGGGATTGTCTTGCCTATTAATATTAATACGGATATCGATTCACCCCGACAGTTCTCATAAATATTAATCCTAACGTCAGTCGGACCGACGACAATGCCGGCGTCGGTTAATCTCCATTTCGTTCCTCGACACTTTCGCAGCCCATTCTTCGTTTCCCCTCTGCCTGATCCTTAATCGATAATCGATAAATAACACTTTCAGAAAAGGTTAAACAATGTAGTCTTGAAAGTAAAGTGAAGTTTTCAACGCGAATATTAATCGCGGGCACTCTGGAATTTTCAGAACTTGTGCAGATTACTATTGGCTCTTAACTCTGTGATCTTTACAAATACAAGTAGTTTTCAGTTAAGGGACCGAGAGTGGTTCCGTTTAAACGGAAAGGTGTATATATAGTATAGTACATATCGCTTGTTGCGTGCAAGTGTCATATTTCACACTGTTAGATGATACAATAGCATGGAGTGAGGATAGTCCCAATTCTAAGAATTGGTGGTGGATAGGAATAGACGCTTAACTGGGGAAAAGTACACTTATCGGAGGACGACTGTACATACAAACATACCTTAACAAAATAATAACGTATTTTGAAGTTGTCGTCAAGAAAATTTGCTTAGAAAAATAAGTGAGAATATTAAAATTTTCAGATGTCAAATGTATTATATTTGTAATACTTAAATGCAAACGAGACTGTGGAGAGACGTTGTTACTTTTAATGAAAAGGCGAAGAAAGGCTTTTAGCTTCTTGCCACGCACGTTGAGAACTTTTTGTCCCAAAATTGCAATATTCTTTCAGTTTATAAGTATAACCCAAGCAGAACAAATAAATTTATTGCTTCTCAGTAATTTTTATCCAATGATATGACCGATGAATTCAAAAAAAAAGACGATTTATTGTGTACGGTTCGGTCACTCGTTACGGTCCGCAATCAGTTGCCAGCGCAAGTGGTTAAGTTCGATTTAAAATTTCGTTTCTGTTCGACAGGTACATAGGCATAGGCGTTTTACTATTAGGTTTAGGAAGTCTACTTTTCGCGTCCCCCCACTATATCGCCGGGCCATACAGAGGCGGTCAGCAGTCGGAGAATATATGCCAGAGGGTGACGAACACATCGTCCCGCTCGGTACGTAATACCATGGGCTTACTAATTAATTCAGTCGAATTCGAACGAATGTTTTATACCGCAGCGCAAGAGGGGATCTTCAATAAATTTCTGAAAAATGTGATGAAGTTCCTTTTCCAGAATAATAGAACTCGTTACGTAACGAGGATTTTAATCCTCCGCGAAAATTAATGAACTTTTGAGACCGTAATAAATCTTTGTCAGTAAATTTTTGAAAAGTGTAATGAAGCTTTTTCGAGAATAGTAGAATTGCAACGGAGGATTTCCATAGAAGTCAATAAATTTTTGAAAACGTAACAAACCTTCGTTAATAAATTTTAATTATATTTAATTTTAATAAATTTAATATTTTAATATTTATTTTAATATTTATTTAACACTTTAATTTTAATAAATTTAATATTTTAATATTTATTTAATATTTTAATTTTAATAAATTTAATATTTTAATATTTATTTAATATTTTAATTTTAATAAATTTAATATTTTAATATTTATTTAATATTTTAATTTTAATAAATTTAATATTTTAATATTTATTTAATATTTTAATTTTAATAAATTTAATATTTTAATATTTATTTAATATTTTAATTTTAATAGATTTTAATAATATTTTTGATAATGTAGTAAAGTTCAATAATAGAATAGAGGATAAAGAACCAATTTTACTCATTACTTTTCTTGTCCAGACGTACAACCATAGATGTACAACCAACAGAATCCTCTTTTTTTTCTGTATTTTCCTCCCAATTCTAACAAAATGTCTCGTCAGAAGAGAGAAAGATATTTTTGTCCTTGGTTGCTAATTAAATTACTCTCGATTCACTTCCTTGCCATTCAGCTGTCTTGTAATGGGTCCGTGGGCCAAGTGGACCAGGAACCGTACAGCGGGCTGTACTTAACTATCTTTCTGATGGCCCAACTTCTGCACGGAGCAGGCTCCGCTCCTTTTTACACGCTCGGCGTTACGTACCTAGACGAGAACGTGTCGAAAAAGATGTCCTCTGTGTACGTAGGTAAGCGAGTCAAGTCCATCTGCTATCTGTTCAAGCCTTTTTGTCACAAAAAAGAAGTTAACAAACTATAGTGATGTACAGGGTGATTCACGTAACTTGCACACTTTGAAATAATTTTTAAATTACACGTCTAATGAAAGATTGTTTAATACAAAAGTTGTATGATTCTGAGGGAGGCAAAATGTGACAAATATATCAATTTTTTATGGGTTTTTCGAAATTTCCAAGGTCATATTTTACTTTATTTCCTTTCCAATTGGACCACATATGTTTCTTTTAATCGTAAATCGATTATTTTTATTTTTTATCAACATAATTTTAACTTTTCATCAAGAATATTATTAAATTCCAAGTAAGAAAAAAGTATTAAGCCATGGTTGAGATATTTTTTATACTTTAAGTTATTTATCAGGTGTGCAAGTTACGTGAGTCAGCCTGTACATGATTGTAAATGGCGAACGAGAAGTAACAGCAAAGAAGTTGTCTCTCTGAAGGCGAGCGTTACGTTAAAAGACTCCCCTCCCTCTAGGAATTTTCTACACAATGGCCATAATAGGACCTGCACTGGGGTACGTGGTCGGTGGCGAATTATTGAAGCTGTACACAGATTTCATCACCGTGGACCCGTCAGAGTGAGTCTAAACACAATACAAATTTTTCTTGAACTCTGGTTATGCATGGCTTCTGACCGACCGTTCCAAACTTGCTTTTGAAAATAACAGGGTTTCTCAAACTCTTGCCCAGGGCGAGAGGGGAATTCGAGTTTCTAGGAGAGCGATTCGCGAATGAATTATTTGTTTGCATTTCTTCTAAATGAAAATTTAACTTTCTCACTTTTCCCTTTTCACGGATGTCATGCTCTTTAGAAGATTGTTTCGATGAAGTTCATGGCCTTTCTGGCTTCCCCGGCCTTTGAAAAGTGAAAAAAATTCAGTGATAAAAATAATTTCGAATGCTAGAAATCATGCGTCACAGGGGCGGTGCGTCACAGGATTTTAAAAATGCTCAGATTAGCAGATGTACATAAACACCAGACATACAAATCAATCATCTATAGAAAGAATAAAGAAACTGACGAAAGAAAATTTAATTCGAAAACAATTCTGCGAATATACGTACGAGCATTATGATTTCACTGTGTCAAAGGCAAAGGCAAATATTCATATACTAATCCAAGTTTCGTCACTTGAATTCAATTCAGACTGACTTAAACTCGAGAAGCCCCGGCTTAGAACGGTGGAAAACGCTTTGATGACGAAATGTTTCTCGAACGTTTTCACGGTAGTCGGGTGAAAAAAAGAATTTTATCGGTTAAACGTTATGCTCGAAGAGCATTGGAATTGGTAGAAAGAGAGAAAGAGAAAGAGAGAGAGAGAGAGAGAGAGAGGGACGACGAGACTCTTGGAAGGAAGAATTACAACGGACGGACAATGGCTTGGGAAGTTGTTCGCGTTCATTATGCGTTTCACGCTGGCTAAAGGGGTTCATAGTCGTCGAATGCCGATGGGGAATGACGCGTAATGGCTGCGCCATCGGAATTTGTCGCCACGCGTTAAACGCGTTTCCCGCTTTTTTCGCCTCCGTTCCCCCCCACTCCTACCTCCCTCCACCCCCCACTCCGAGGCTCGAGTACGAATAGAGGGGAGGGGGGAGGGGCGTTTAGCAGCGCGTCACGCCGACTTTATTAAATTCTCGCCAAAATTTATCGACTGTTTGCCACGATCTGTCCGACATTTACGGGGCAAGTGGTTCCTGGTTGTTGGTTGATTATTTGGTCGAGAACCAGATGCTTTATACAACAAATAAATTGCGACAAATTCGACAGTCTTACATATTTTACATATTTTACATGTGTGCACATGTTGCACTCTTTATATTCATTTTTACAGTACACGTTTAAGCTCGAAGAATTTGGGAATTAATTGACACGAATTTTATATAATATTTTTATATAATATTTTTTATAATATGAATGAATTTTATATAATATTTTTTATAATTATAAATAATTTAATTTATATTTTTATTTATTAATTTATATTTTTATTAATATAGTTTATTAACTTATATTTTTATTTTATAATTATAAATAATTTAATTTATATTATTTTATAATTATAAATAATTTAATTTATATTATTTTATAATTATAAGTAATTTAATTTAATTTATAGAAATAATTTAATTTATATAATAGTTTTTATAATTATAAATTTTTTTATAATTATAAATTAATTGACTCGAATTTTGTATAATATTTTTTACAATTATAAATTTTCGGACTCGAGTTTTACAGAAATTTCTTGGCAAATAAGTCCGACAAATTCTGACTTAATATTCTTTACGTTCATTTTACACGTATATAATTACGTTTAAGCTCGAAGAATTTGCAAGTTAATCGCGGGATTTTGAAGAGGCGGCTCGAATTTTGTATAAATTTCTTGACAAACCATAAAGAACAGGATTTTCATGGGGAACACGGACGCCCGAGGAGAAATCGAGTTAACGGACCCACGGTGGACGATGTCGCCGGTGTACACGGGCTATCGGATTTTTATCGTCTATTTTTGCCGTTTCACGGCCTTGAAAAGAAGCATCGCAGGAGGAACAGCGCGTCATTACGTTACATTGCGAAACGTTGTTAACTATGTTTGCGTCGTTTAATTATCTTCTTGTCGCTGGAACGATAACGAGGGTGACCGTGATCCATGCTCTTTTTCCCTTTCGTCCCTGTCACTGGATGCTGATCAAATTTACTTTCGTTCATTTATCTGCCCTCTACTAGCCAAATTTCGGACTTTGCGCGCAGATTCGCTTGATTCAATAAACCAAACACACCATGACACCGCTGTAATCAGATCTCTTTACGAAAGGGAAATCCTGACGATTAATTGTCAATTTAATACAGGCAACAATGCAACAAAATAACTTTCAGATAATAAAAAAAAAAAAATAAACCTGATCGGTTTAACGTTAAGCAGTAACGATTTTTCAACAATTACTTGTTCCCGTCACTTTTCTGATTCTGATCCACGGTCCAATGAAACGTTCAGTTCCCATTTGAAATATAACACCCACGGTTGGAATTTTCCATCGAAGCAACTCGATGCCAAGGAAGATGGCGCGAGGGGGGGGGGGGGGGGGGGCGAAGAGTATATCGAAGAAAATAAAATCTTTGTTTTCAGTCTGCAGTGCGCCCTGTGTGTATCCCTCAAGGACCATTAGAGCGTATAATGGGCCGCGATTAATAGTGCATGTAACCCCCATGGACGTACATAGCTCGTGTAGAGGAGAAGAGGGGGGCTGCCCCCTCTCCCCTCCCCCTCTTCCGTAGGGAAAATGTCAAGCGGTGAACCAATGTTTGACGATGACGCCGATGTTACCCCTTCAAAACTGTCACTTCATCCCCCTTATGGCACTTAAAGCACAATCAAGTTCCATTTGTCTGCGACGCCTGCCTGCCAAGCAGCCCTCATCCCTTTCTCCCCTCCTCCTCCTCCTCCCCCTCCTCCTCCTCCTTCTCCTCCGCGCGCGCTACACGTGAGAATCGAATTAATCGTTGCTCGCTGAACAAGAGTCTTTTTTTTCTCTCTCGTTTCTCCTCGGGAGAACGGGAGACGTGCATCACGCCGAGCATCGAATAGCAAATCGAGTCGTTCGGTCTCGGTGTGTAGAAGTGTAAAGCAAAGTATTCCCAACGTATTCCTTGCGAATTTTACTTTTAAATGGCGGGCTATCGATTTGGGCGGGCTACGTGTTTGCTGTTTTAGCTTGACAGGTTTACGTTGTTCTCTGTTATTGTTTTTTTTTTTTTTTTTTTTTTTTTTTTGGAAGGGGAAGGGATCTTTCTTCGCGAAAGTTTCAACTTTTCTAAATTTGCAGGACACTTGCTTCGCGCGATAAATTTGCACGATTAAACGATTAAGTTCGAAACTTCGTAGAGAGAGAGAGAGAGATTGGAATTGCAACGAATCGAAGCAGGAGATGATTTATTTTCGAAAAATGGCCTAACCCAAGCATCGAACTTTCGAAAGTTTCGATCATTTTCTTGGCAACTTTCATTTTTTCTCGATTAACAGATCGGACCCAGGCTTCGAAGCTCGAGGAGCGGAGAAATTATTATGGCAACAGCCTACGTCGGGAGATAAAAGGCAAAAGAAAGAAGGAAGAAAATAGAAAGTGGAAGAGACCGAAATGAAAAGTCGAAAGGATCTTCTTTCGCGTTTCGTGGTTAACTGTGTCTTTCGCGTTGCGGTGGATGTCCAAATGGACATCAGTAAATTTAGAATCCCTAAGTTTTTTTCCCCTCCGAAAAGGATATTTGAAAGCCACTGTTCGAGAGATGAATCGATGCTTCCTTCCGTAAACACGGAAAGGGAAATTTCCTGTTGAATTACCAAAGAGTAACCAAGACAGACCAAGTTGTCGACTCGAAAGACGCATCTAATTAATAAATTCACTTGTACGGGAAAGGAAGAAGTCCGTGGCTTTTTCACATCACGAAAGTAAAATTTTCCAAGGAATAGTTCTTTTAAAAAATGGCAAGAAAGTTTCTTGATCATTTAAAACTCCGAACGCGTGCGTTCTAACAGCGACTTTATCTGATTTATCTGATTGCGTATATGTAATGTTTATATTTCGAATAATCTCAACAATTAATTTTATCTTTATTTATTTGGACGCTTATTTAGACACTGATGCTACAACTATGATAAATCAAATGTTAGTGAAAACTAATACGAAAATTACGTAAAATAGACATCCACACGTCCAGAAGCATAAAGTCGCTGTTAGAACGCACATGTCCGCAGTGTTAAATGATAAAGAAACTTTTTTTTTTTGCCATTTTACAAAAGAACTGTTGACCTTGTCATGACCTGTGGTTGTGATGAGTAGAATACAATAGAAAAAAAAAATTTTTGAAAACCTTGAAATTCAAGGCGATCGAAAGTGTAGAATTCATCTATGACAGCAGACGGACAAACTTTTCTTTTCACCCTGTAGCTAATTTAGTAACTAAAAGTCACTATCGAAGTTTACCACAAAGTTGCTGTTAAATTGCTAAATTTAGTCATTTAAAAAATTAGTAATATAGTAACTGAAAGTTACTATTAAATTACTAAATTTAGTAACTGAAAAAATTAGTAATTTAGTAACCAAAAGTTACTATTAAATGACTAAATTTAGTAATTTAAAAAATTACTAATACAGTAACTAAAAGTTACTATGAAAACACTAAATTTAGTGATTTAAAAAATTGGTGATTTAGTAACTAAAGAGTACTGTTAAATTACTAAATTTAGTAATTGAAAAAATTAGTAATTTACTATTAAATGACTAAATTTAGTAATTTAAAAAATTAGTAATACAGTAACTAAAAGTTACTATGAAAACACTAAATCTAGTGATTTAAAAAATTGGTAATTTAGTAACTAAAAGGTACTGTTAAATTACTAAATTTAGTAATTGAAAAAATTAGTAATTTAGTAATTTAAAAAATTAGTAATATAGTAATTTAAAAAAATAGTAATTTAGTAACTAAATGTTGCTATTAAATTACTAAATTTAGTAATTTAAAAAATTGGTAATTTAGTAACTAAAAAGTACTATTAAATTACTAAATTTAATAATTAAAAAAATTAGTGATTTAGTACTATTAAATTTAGTAATTAAAAAATTAGTGATTTAGTAACTAAATGTTACTATTAAATTACTAAATTTAGTAATTGGAGAAATTAAATTACTATTAAATTATTAAATTTAGTAACTAAAAATTTACTATTCTTAGAAATTTTAATTAAAAAATTGCTAGTTTTCTCGAAATCTTAGACTCTGAATTTTTCTCTCTCTCTCTCTTTCTCTCTGCCAACCGAATTATGGATTCAGCATTCAGAGAGGAGCCACAGTGGCCGAGTGTCGTTTAAAGATCAGTTACGACTAGAAGACCGGAGGAAAAAGAGGACTGAACGGCGATTGCTTGTCAGTATTACGGAGTTAAGTCCGCTAAGGGATGATCGCGCAGTTAGTCAGCTGTTTCCGGGCAATCAATCACCTGTTCGCAGTCCTGGGTTTCGCCAGGAGGAAATAAGCCTAGCCACGGAGGGGGGGGGGGGGGAAGTTTTACGCGAAGTCTCTTGCTGGAAATATTCGTCTCGTCGATCGATAAAACAACCCTCGAGAACTCCAATCGATTTACCATCGGCAGCACTTGATTTGAAAAATATTTGCAGAAAAACATTGAAACACCGAACGTATCAAGAGTGAAATATTACACATACCTTGCCAATAATTTATGAATCGATTTTGAATAATTAGGTGAGCTCCTCAGGTTACGAATACGCTGTCAATTTTTTCCAAATTTAGACTCTAGCTTCTAGACAAATGTCTTTCTCGCATAGTTGCGCACACTAGGTTACGTCACGTATATTGTGCCGTAATATCGCGATTCTGAAGGAATTTGCTAGACGGCGAGCCCTAGCGGTTATGCTCGCGCGATGATGATGGCGCATTGTACACGCGTTGAAGGAGAAGATGATGAACGAGAGGGGCTTCGAAAGTACCGGCGAGATTAAAGAACCATTGTTCGTGCACTTTCTCATGGGAGAACTTTAACATTTTCGAGCGATGATATTTCATTATTATCGAGCGTTTCAAGTACAAGGTGGGCCAAGAATACCATACTTTCTATTAAAATCAGTTATTTAATTCTGTTTTAATATACATTTTCTTCTGAACGTTTGAGAGAAACACTTAATTAAAGTACAATGAATTAATCGATTTAATTTAAAGCTAACGAAATTAGCTTCTCCGTGTGTTTCGACAGACGAGAAGAGACTTTTGAGCCACCCTATGTGTGCGTCGCATTGCACTTGCGGCCCGATTACTGTACTCAATTTGCTCTTTGTCTTTGACAGAATAATTACTCTCTAAGTGGAAACAATTGGAATTTTTTTCTACTTTTCTTCTTTCTTTTTTTTTTTTTTTTTTTTTTGAATGAATCGCGGCAGGCCGATGGTTTCGTTCGCGGTTTATATCGGTTTAGAACACGAGGGAAGGACGAGCTTCCGGGCAATTAGCCGGGAAAGTTGCAGAGGCTCGGCCGGTCGGGGAATTTCTGACCGCCGGCTGCCGGCGCAATTAAAAAAGCGCGAGGAGATCGGCAAGTTTCGCGACCGGGAAAGTAATCTCGGCCTACTCGCCGGAGTATACCGAGTACACTGTTCCCGGATAATTACATTTTTCTCTCCCTGGAATCGTTGCCCGTCCCTTTTTTGTTTACGCGCCGGCCTACTTTCCCCCGGGGAGTCCTCCGTTTGATAGCGTCGTTTAAAAAACGACGAGACTTATCCGCGAGATCTCGCCTCGTTCAGCGGGAGGATTTACTAATTTGAAAAATAACAAATTTTGCAGGATCGGCCTGACACCGAACAGCAACGTGTGGGTGGGAGCATGGTGGATAGGTTTCCTAGCGGCTGCAGTCATATGTTTCGCGATTGCTATACCGATCTTGGCGTTCCCGGCAGCTTTACCTGGTACACACGCTTCAATATTATAAAATATATATTTTTGACATCTTTCTTTTTTCGAGTATACCCTTATTTCGTACGTGTCACCTTTTGAGAATCGATTATATAGATATTATATCCGTCCTTCCATTTTTTTTTTTTTTTTTCTAGAGATGGCTAACTGGCGGCCCTTGCCCCAAACTTTACTGATCGCTGGCGCTACCCCCTCCACTGCTCCACGATTTCCCCACTACATTGACATTTCCTCGCCGTGCATGACCCCCACTCCTTCACTGACGCCGTGCATGACCCCCACTCCTCCACTGACGCAGTGGAGGGGGTAGCGCTAGTAATCAGGAAAGTGGGGACAAGGGCTCGCGTGTCGCCAGTTAGCCTCTGCGGTAAATTACAACGCTGCTTTACAACGAAAATACATCGTTCCAAACGTTCAACGAGACTTGGAATTTCAATGAGACTCGAAGAAATGTTGCAGCGAATATCAGCAAGTTTACGAAAGCTTGGCGAGAACAAATCAGCCGAACGAAATTGACGTTAAATTAACGATGAAAATTGAGTCGAACTTGCCGATTGAAAAAGAAAAGGTCGATTGTTTTGAATCGCGACGGTGGCGAATACTGAATAAAATTTCAATAAAATCATTATTCTCTCTTTTTTTTTTCGCTAACCTGTATAAAATAAATGTGTGTTTCTATAACTTACACCAGCGTTTCTTTTCAACAAATTCCATTTACGGCGCGAAACGAGCGCACGTGGAACATGGATATCATAAACTTCGCGTATCCGCGAGGATTATTCCAGATTTCTTTTCACGTAATTTCTCGATCGAACTTCATGCTGGAACTTTCAATTAAATTTAACCACGCTCTCGAAGACAAGCAATCGACAGTCCAAATATACTCGCGAGTATATGTATAATGGGATGTAAATCGACTGTTGAGAAGGAACGGATGTCTCTTTTCCTTAGGTTCGGAGAAACTGGCCAAAGAGAGGGTGTCAGAGGCGCACCAGAAGCCCGAGCAGCCGTCCTCGAGCGATCGAGGGGAGGCGTTCTCGAAAATACGGGAACTGCCTCGCGCTCTCACCGATCTGCTCGGTAATCCGGGGTTTTTCATGTTGAATCTGGCAGGTGCCAGTGAAGGATTACTTATCGCTGGTTTCGCCGCGTTCCTGCCGAAACTGATCGAAAATCAATTCAACGTCAGCCCTAGCTCCGCCGCATTACTAATGGGTGAATAATATTCAAACATTCTGTCGTAATCAATCAGAGAACCAACAAAAAAAAAAAAGAAGGAAAGAGAGAGAGAGAGAGAGAGAGAAAATCGCGCGCCTCTCGTCCATCGCAACGCGTAATCGTTGACATTTTTCGTCAAATACCGAAACATTTTTTACCCTCCTTTTTTTTCTTTTTTACGCTGCAACCTTTTTTTCCTCTCTGCTCTCTTTGCGCGAAAATATCGACTGAACGATATGTTACCGTCAGATATATATCCCCTCGGATATGTTGCGGGCATAAATCATCGTCGACGTTCGTCTACAGGGTGTTTCAACCGAGAATTTTAATCGCGCACAATTTCTTACACATTGCGCATAACGAATCGGGGATAAACTTGATGAAAGGAATCGTGTCATTTAAATTTATTAATAAATTCATTTATCAAATCATCCGTGCTTAAAGCTGTTATTATAAATTTTTCACGCGTTATAGTCTTATATATTATTGAATTTGATATCGCGGTGAAACACCCTGTATCTCGATCCACGTAATTTCGTGAAATTTCGAAACCACCGAGAGGACCTAAACACTCTTGCGTAAAGAAAAAAAAA